ATGTGGATAATATAGCCTTGCGTAGTTTGCCGTTTTTCAGTCATTTTGTAAGACAAATGGGAAATTGATAATCAGTTTGATCATCTGATTCTCAATTTGCCATTTGTAATACCAAATGACTGAAAAACGGCAAACTTCGCAAGGCAATATTATCCACATTTTACAACATTTTGCAACAAAACTTCGGAATATTATTCGGAATATTACTATTTAGTTTTATTTGTATTTATGTCAGGTTTTATGCGCCTACAATTTAAAGATCATAGATCTCCCACGATTTCGCCTTAAAAACAAAGTCCCAAATTTGTCAAAGTTTTCTTAGCTTTAAAGATGATGTCCACTCCTGTGTGCATGTATGTTTTTAACTGCTATATTTGTAAAATCTGATTTCCTAACTGAATACTACCATTTACAAGCAACCGCAAAATCCCAACTTTTTTTCACGTTTGTTTACGTTTCAAACGTACACGGTGCGCGGGTCAATTGTGAATGTTGAAACGTAACAACAATTAGTTTGAACCACGAAATAGTGACTTTTGGGCGCGTTTTGTCAAACGTGACTATGTCGCGGTTCAAACAAATTGATTGTTACGTGTCGACATGCACGTATACCCGACCATCGTGTACGTTTGAAACGTAAACAAACGTGAAAAAAAATTGGGGTTCTGGTTCGCTATGCTTGTAAATGAATGTAAACTCTACGTTTCAATTAAAAAAGTTCGAAAGATGCACAATTTGGGCAATATTTATATTTGGGGGTCCCCCTATGTTATGAGCAGAACTGATGCGCAGAACGGAGTGGAAGTCATCTTTAAGTTTGTTAAACCACAAGCGCTGCCTTTTGTAAGCACATTTCTTAAGCGAATTTCTCCTTCATAGCAATATAGGACGTATATAACGTTTGCCGGAAACACCAAGATTCTGTAAAAATACAAACTAAGCGCCTAATTTGGTATTTGCATATTAATTAATTAAATGTTGCATTATCAAGTTCTCAGTGGATGTAACTCTATTGCGTCAGGTGGTTGTCGTCTTCTTGGGCTTGGTCGGCACATCATTCGCTGAAGCAGCTTTTTGAAAGCTTCTCTGTACCTTTGGTCCAGACACCCATAAATTATTGGATTGCATAAACTGTTAAAATAAGGTAGTTTAGTTATTACAAAATCAGCTGTCCAAATCCGAACTAAGTCGGTGAATGACCTGCCATCCGATTCAATCAAATTTGAACTGTAGAGCCAAAGCAATATATAAAAAAAGTAAGGACCCCAACAAAGTATAAACACTCCCACGACAGCAATTAAAGTTCGGATGGCATTTAGATGTTGAAGTAAGGCACTTCGTTGGGTTCGATCATTGCAGGTTTGTCTTAGTTCGCCACTTCTCAGCATATTTTGTCGCTTATAAACTACAACAAAAATGAGAGTGTACGTTACCAGTATGACTGCTGTAGGTAGGAAAAACGCACTTACAGCCAGAAAAGTGTAGAATCCTTTTATTTTGTTATTATCGTAGGGGCAAAAACCACCGCCTGTCAACAAAATTCCCCTGCTTCCCGAATGAGGAGTGGTGGCGTAGGTGGCAAAGGCAGTTGAAATCAACCACATAATAAAGATAATTTTCAATGATTTGGAAGTAGTCATTTTGGATGGGTATAGAAGTGGTTTCTTGATCTTGAGATACCGGTCAAGACTGATGAATGTTAGTGAATAAATAGATGCTGCTAACGCAAAGGTATCTATCCACACCAGAAAACGACACAGATGAATGGACATGGTAACCTTCGAATCATAATCAAGATTACGGTAATACACCCTCCATGGTTCTAAAATCATTCCAACCAAAAGATCTGCGACAGCCAGGCAAGCAATAAAATATTTATTTGGCTGATGAAGAATTCTTTCTCTCCAGGTCGCTACCAAAACCATAGTGTTCCCCAAAATGGTAAAACAGGCGAAAATGGTTAGTATAATCTTCTCTGCTAAATAAAGCTGGTTCCTTAATGCATCAAGTTCCTTCCACTCACTTTCCGTCCATGTATCCGTCCCTGTTTGATTTGTATGATTATACATAAAACTAGAATTCTTTGACGACATTACTGCAAAATTTGATCCTAAGGATTAGATAAGAATACCTCAATAATTAGGCAACTTCTAACAGGATTAGGGTGCCGCATGTACTCGTCAATTGTTCGTGTATTGACTTCATAGTCAGGCCGTTCGACCCTAATTTGACATTTACGATTCAATAGACTTATGCATAATGACGTCAAAAGGTTTCAATGTGCAACCAAAAGAGACATTTATAACGTAAAATAAAATAAAAGCCACTCAAATTTTGCACAAACGTTTTCGCTTTAATGTTAGCTCCTCAGGTGCGATTGTAAATATGCACCTGAGGAGGTAACATTAAAGCGAAAACGTTTGTGCAAAATTTGAGTGGCTTTTATTTTATTTTACGTTATAAATGTCTCTTTTGGTTGCACATTGAAACCTTTTATATATATATATATATATATATATATATATATATATATATATATATATATATATATATATATATATATATATATATATATATATATATATATATATATATAGTATATATATATATATATATATATATATATATATATATATATATATATACGTATATACACTGTTAATTTCGATGAGTCAAATTTTACTCCTCAAAGAGTAAAAACAACTCTGGCTTAAGGAGTAAAATTTACACCAAAAATGGAGTAAATAAAGGAGTAAAATTTACTCCAAAAAAGGAGGCGTTCTGTACCTTTTTTATTTACTCCACTTTTAGAGTCAATTCGACTCCTTTGGAGACAAAATGACTTCTATATATCGGAGTAAAGAAAAGTCTTTAACTAACTTTAGATCAATAAAGACATTTTTCGAGTCAAAATAATTTATTATCCCTACAAGTAAGATATATTATAGCAGGAAATACAATTTGCTGTAGCATAATATAATGATATACTCTAACACCCTATAATATTAATGAAGTTCTAAAATGAAATTTTGATTAGAATGATATCATGAATACATGTGGAATACAATTACAAGCCTGTCAGCATGAATTTAACCTGCAGCCCTGCAATTCTACCACAGCCCACTGACCTAAAGAGCCCTTTGGCCAAGAGGTAACCACAAGTTACTGTATATATACCATAGTGGTGTCATTGGTAATGTATTAAATAAACTGCCCAGGATGACACTAGTATTATATGCATGAACTCTTGGTTACAGTAGAGCTTGATTGACTCTCAGGGCGATGGACTCTTAGGGCTTGAGGACCCTTGACGGTTAAAAAGCTGATCAGAATCACAGGGCAGCAGGTTCCATTCCCAGCACAGTACCGGCTATTACATAGTTATCGTTCAAAAAATTTGCATTTACAGAAAAGCTTTAACCCATTAAGTGGCAGCACTCTCTCCTTAATGAGCAAAAATTGTCTGACCACATTAGACAGAAAAAATAAAAAAGTAAAGCACATTGCCACTTAAAGGGTTAATATTCTGTTCAATGTAGAATATTTACAAGTAAAATATACTGCATGTATTAAATGTATGTAGTGTCACTGCTCAATCACTGAAACATGTCAAGCAAGTCCATTAGTAAAAATTTAGTACAAAACAAGCTGTATACCACAATTCGGCAACTCTATCCCTTGAATGATTAAGGAATTCACAAAAATGCTCTCCAGCAAAAGAATAACATTTTCCAAATAAACCATGAATTTCTTAGAATGCCATTAACGATTACATATAATACCACTTGTTTAGACAACTTGCCTTCTCCTGGGAAGCTTTTGTTAAATGCATATATTAATGACAATCCCTAGCAAGAAAAAATATATAAGGTTGATATATAACAACAGCAAATTATTGATTGATGTTTGTGATGTTACTCTGAGTGTGCATCCACACCGGGCAAGCTGAAAAGTTAGTTTGGCCACGGTGGGAATCGAACCTGCGGCCTTTGGGATACTAGTCCAATGCTCTGTCAACTGAGCTACATGGTCAAGTTTGTTCGAGTTGATGATATTTCGCAACTGAGTCTAGTTCCTTCGATATCAGTGTACAGGGGTATTCAATGAATACGATTATTTTGTGTGTGTTGGTGTCATGTACTCAGGTGAATATATGATGTTTGTGATGTTACTCTCACTGAGTGTGCATCCACACTGGGCAAGCTGAAAAGTTAGCTTTGCCACGGTCACAGGTTCGATTCCCACTGTAGCCAAGCTAACATTTCAGCTTGGCCAGTGTGGATGCACACTCGCAGTAACATCACAAACATCATATATTCACCTGAGTACATAACACCAACACACACAAATTAAAAATTATTGATTGATTGACAATACATTTGCTATTTTTGGTTGTTTGCATATACAAAGCAAGAAATACAAAATTCAAATGCTTTTACTCATTTAATGTAACCATGCAATTGAACTAACATCATCCAAATGAATACAACTTTTCTGGTAAAGGGTGTTTAAAATAGAGGTGCATAATTGATCCAAAATTCATTGTCCCAAAATCTTGCTAATGCCAAGCTAGGATTATTCCATATAAATTATATACAAACACCAACGATTTGGCACAGTACTATCCCTGGACCCTGGGTAAGAAGATCTCTGTGATTGTTTTTGTCAGTTTATACATATATTATTTAGAGTCGTATACACAGGATGCGGTTACCCAATCATCCGAGCCGGGGGCTCATGTAAAAAGTTCACGAGACTGTCTGCAAAAGTATGAGTGATTGATCACTTGTTGGTTCACTTCATTGGGAAATGTGCTTCTACTATATAACTCAAAAACCATGACCAGCCGACAATTTAAAAAAATAAAGTAAAAAACAAATTCCGAAAATACAGGACATCTTGAGAATTCAATATATAATTCAAAACAAGACGCAGTTTGAGACTGTAAATTTTCGACTTTATTTCAAAGTCATCTTCAGACAGAATGAAATACAATACTTTACAACACATATATATACAACGCAGAGAGAGAGAGCATCTGTCATGTGGGCGGAAAGAAGGATTATCCAAGCGAAGCGAAACATGATAAAGAAAATAGTAATAACTGAAAATGGAATATTTAGCTATATTTACAACAATGTTTAATATATTAAAAGGATTAAGGTAGAAAGGGAAAGACCCGACATGTAGAATAAGATTGAGTTAAAGTGTTATGTGAACAGTTGTAGTTCTTTACTGGCTTTAAGTCCACTGTTAAGAAAAGGTTTGTTGTGTTTGATAAGCAATGCTTCAAGAAAAGCAAGAATGTTGTAGTTGTTAGATTTTGTAATGTGAAGTATTCTGTAGCTGTTGAAAACAAGGTTTTCAATAGGAGAGGAGTTGTCAGAAGGCGAAGGAAGATCGTTGAGTAATGTGAACTGGTCTTGTAAAGTAGCTAAGAATTGAGCATGTTCACACTCAGAAAAATGTTGGCCCACTGCACTAGAAGAGAGCCTAGTTGCATGCTCTTTCAAACGTACAGAAAGGCATCTTTGTGTCATGCCAATATAGGTTTTGCCACAACCAGGGCAAGCGACCTCGTATACAAGATTACTACGAGATAAAGGAGGAAGTTTATCTTTGTTGGAAACAAAATAAGAGAGCTTTTTAGTGTCATAAATAGTGATGAACTTAACCGGTTTAGAAAGAAATCTTTGTATTTTATTAAGACATGATTTTAAAAGAAAATCGCCACGGTTTCCGAGATAAGGAATACGAATCCAAATTTTAGGCAACATATCATCATCCGTGTCATGATTAACGGCATCGAAAGTAGAACTATCAATAAATTTGGTTTTAAGCTTTTTAATCAAAAAGTTTCTAACGCCATTAGGATAACCATTCCAAGACATAAAAGATTTGATAGTTTCAATTTGATTGTTGAAAAGTGTTTTCGAACTGCAAATTTTAAAAGCTCGGTAGAACAGAGATTTTACCCATGCAGTTTTGCGATGAAAAGGCTCGAAACTTGAAAAATGTGAATACTGACCGGTGTGGGTGTCCTTACGATAAATGTCAGTACCATCAACCGAGACTTTTATGTCTAAAAAATGAACTACGCCATCGGGAAATGTATCAACTGTGAAATTTAAGTTCGGATCGAAACTATTGAACTTAGCTAAAACGGCGGAAATATTGGAAGGTTTTATCAAAACAAGAGTGTCATCAACGTAACGTTTGTAGAATTTTATAGTACCATCGGCAATCAACTCGGAAACTATTAATCTTTCAAATTCAGTCAAAATTATATTAGCTAAGACAGGTCCTAATGATGAACCCATAGAAACGCCGTCTTTTTGGACATAAATTTGCTCGTCAAAAGAAAAGGCAGTTTTGTTGCAACAATCCAAAATGAGTTTCTTCAAAGTGCGCTTTTTCAAAGTGGTTGCAATTAATTCGTCTTTATAAATACGGTCTAGAACAATTTTGACTGTGCGGGAAAGTGGAACGTTGGTAAAAAGGGATTCAACATCGAAAGAAACGAACTGGTAGCCTTCTTGAAACAAATGTTTGGGAATGTTGTTAATATTGGTCACCGCATCAAAAGAATCAGAAAGAGAATGATCATTTAAAGTAAGAGGATTTAGTAAAGAAGATAAAAATTTTCCAACGTTGTAGTGTGGAGTGTTAGTAGTGTCAACTATTGGTCGGAATTTAGGTAAAGTGTCAAATTTCTTGTGAGTCTTTGGCAAACCATGTGCTCTGCCAAAATGTGCTGTCATAGGTCTTAAAGCGTCAAGTTGTTCGTCAGTAATTTCATTACGTTTGTGAAGTTTAAGTAGGTAGTTCTGTAAAGAATGAAGTCTAGTTAATGTCGGGTCATTATCCAATTTCTTAAACTTAGAGGAATCAGAAAAAAGAGATTTGATAGAAATTACATAATCAGAGCGATTAATGAGCACAATGCCATTTCCTTTATCAGGCTTAAGGATGGCAAAAGTTTCTGTTAGTTTGTTTAGAATGTTTATCTTCTTGCGCCCTAGCTTAAACTCCTTCAAGTCAAGATCAATATAATTATAAGTGAAGGAGCGAAGAGAGTTCTTAGTCTTATCTTGTACGTATCTTCCTTCCTTGAAAATATCCAAACGTGATACCTGTCTCCAAACGTCTTCAGCCACAGCCATGATTTCTAGTTGGTTAGGTGGAGTTGCCAGGCCATATCTGAGTCCTAACTTTAAAACATCCAGTTTATCGGACGAGAGCGAGTGATTCGTCAAGTTCACAATTGTCTCGTTTGGGTTCTCAGTGATACCATCAGATGTCCGTTTCAGTGCGGTTAAGACAGAGAGCTTTTTCTGGTGTCTACAAACAATCTTGGTTTTCTCAGAGGATTGAACATGCTCAATTCTTAGCTACTTTACAAGACCAGTTCACATTACTCAACGATCTTCCTTCGCCTTCTGACAACTCTTCTCCTATTGAAAACCTTGTTTTCAACAGCTACAGAATACATCACATTACAAAATCTAACAACTACAACATTCTTGCTTTTCTTGAAGCTCTGCTTATCAAACACAACAAACCTTTTCTTAACACTGGACTTAAAGCTAGTAAAGAACTACAACTGTTCACATAACACTTTAACTTAATCTTCTTCTACATGTCGGGTCTTTCCCTTTCTACCTCAATCCTTCTAATATATTAAACATTGTTGTAAATAAGCTAAATATTCCATTTTCAGTTATTACCATTTTCTTTATCATGTTTCGCTTCGCTTGGATAATCCTTCTTTCCGCCCACATGACAGATGCTCTCTCTCTGCGTTGCATATATATATGTGTTGTAAAGTATTGTATTTCATTCTGTCTGAAGATGACTTTGAAATAAAGTCGAAAATTTACAGTCTCAAACTGCGTCTTGTTTTGAATTATATATTGAATTCTCAAGATGTCCTGTATTTTCGGAATTTGTTTTTTACTTTATAACAATTGCATTTAATTCATTCGTTAGGTACAGTATGTTCATTCAATCGTTTAAGGTCGTTTTCCACTAGGCGGAATTTTTCGCGCGGAGCGGAATTTTTCTTTGTCTTTTCTAATTAATTCTATCCGAGAAATCACAGGACAAAGAAAAATTCCGCTCCGCGGGGAAAATTCCGCCTAGTGGTAAACGGCCTTTATTCAGGATTTCTTCAACTATTAACTTCGACTTCGGCCGCTGCTTGTTCTATGGCTGGTTTCTTCTTAGGCATAAAGATTCGGATTATTTTTAGACAAATGCAGAGCTCAAAAATACACGTCCGCCACAGTGTGGGTACATGTACCAGTGATGAAGCAATTTGATGACATATAATGAAGCAATTTTCATGATGAAGCAATTTTCTTGACAATTTTCTTAGTGAACTTTCGATAATTGTTTTGAACTTCTTCCAATAATTGTTAATTAATTTCTTGTTTTTTTCTTGGCAGGATATCGACTCAAGAACAGTCTTTTGCGATCCATAACTGCACAAAACCAAATAACATGCGCTCATCATTGTTCGTTAGAAAATTTACTGAATTCCAAATGCAAGTCCTTCAACTTCGTTACAGATCCCACAATTCATTTAAACTGTGAACTGAATTCAAATGTGGCTGATAGTGTTAATGATCAAAATCTGGTCGCAAACTCTCGAACGAGCTATTTTGAGACGCTAGCAACAGGTGAAGATATTTTGTAGCAAACTACTGGACGTCTCTAGAAAGTTACATGCGCTGTTTGATTTCATGCTGGAATATCCAAACTACTACACCCAAACTTTTACGTATTACAACAAGATTTTAACTTTTACATATTACAAATGGCTGGCTTCGCCACTAAATTACAATAAGATTTTCATGATATTCACTAGCTAGGCGCTAGTGTTTTTTAAAAATTGATGTGGAAATTTTTACAATGCTGAAAGCTAGCCATAAATGCATAATACTGCCTATATCAAATATCATTTGCGTAAACGTCATAAATAGTTTTATTGTGAACAAACATAATGCATGTTCAGAATAACTGTTTCTAATATCAATATTTATTCAACTGAAAAATAGTCTAGCTCAAAAAAGCGAGGCTTAAACATCAATTTGGCTCCCGATGTTGTCATATGTTTCTTGGCTGTTGAACATGCGGGGCATTGCAAACTTTTCCCTAGAAGCTAATGGGGAACGGATTGAGCGAGATTGCAATTATATATGTAAACAGCGGCGTAACGCGCAAAAGGACAGGGTTAGTTCAAAAACTAATGGACCCAGACGGTTAGGGGCCCCCATCAGCCATGGCCTATATATCCCCAAGAAAATTAGAAAACGTAAAAAATGCAGGTTAAGGATCAATGGGAAAATAATAATGCTGAGTAATAAAGCCTCCATAGATAACGGTAGCTGACTTTTTTGTTCCATCTCAAAAATAAAACAAAAGTTATTCTTATTAATTAGTAGTACACGTGTTGGAGACTGTTATTGTTATTGTTATATAGCCACGGGATTTTCCAGAACGTTCTATAAATATTCAATATAAATATAATATCTCAGTCAAACAATGACAACAGTCAACAGGGGCCCCAACACCAAATACCTCCGTTACGCCACTGTCTGTAAAATACATGCAGACCTGCGACTTTCGAGTGAAGCTCTCCGTCGGGAAGTTTGTGGGGCGTTCGCTCGAAATGTCAAAGTTCTGCTTGTATTTTTCAGGTCGTTGTAATCTCTCTCAACCCGGAGCTCTCTTGCTTTGTTATCCAGTTACCACTCAGACAGGCTACACTGGCACAGACCGTTCAAATACTTAGGTTAGCTTCTCAGAACATTTGCTCAGTGTTGTTGTATTGAAATAGGTCATTAGAAAAAACACCAAGCATATAGATCCCTTCCATGATGATATCATATAACTACAACTACCAGAATTAAATCATTTATGCAGTAAGAACCATACAAAGAAACCTATACGTTTTTATAAAAATATGAAATTTTGATTTCCAACATCGCACTGCATTGGAATAAAGAGTAATCACGTGCCTATTCATGTGAGAACAAGGATTTTTTTTATTTCTGCCCAAAATCATTTAGGAGGCAATTAATGTTTGCACTAAAACCATAATATAAAGTTCAGTCTGCATGGTAGCATTAAAACTTGTTCAGGAAACGTTATATTTAGCTTGAGCACGCAAACCGAGTATGTTGTTGGTCAAAAACTACATGTATTTTTCTGATGCCAAATGTTACTCATTCCTGATGAAATTTGGCATGTACAATGTTAATGCTTTTTCACCATCTATATAACAGTTCTTCAAAACGTCCAACAAATATATCCATTTCATATATATGGTCACAATTGTCATTTTACAACACGTTACTTTATAACTTGTCCACTTTACTCGTCATTGAGGTACTGACTATTTGAGTGTTAAAATTGACCGTACACGTTAAAATGCCTCCACAAGGGTGATATACAACTGATGTATTCAACCTCATGTATTATACAGGTGATATACAACTGATGTATTATACAGCAATTTTTTTTGGTAGGAGTACCTTCTACCTGTTCTGTGATCAAGTCGAATGAACCTGAAAAACGCAGCGGTTACTATACCATCCAACCAAAGAAAAACGAAGCTCCATTTACAGTATTCTGCAACATGACTGATAAAAATGGCGTTGGTGTGACAGTGTTTGGTCACGACAGTGAAGAAAGAACTCATGTCACTGGCTACGAAGATAAAGGCGCCTACAGTAGAAATATAACATATCACAACGCGACCATGAAACAAATCGAGAACGTGGTTAATGCGTCAATTCATTGCGAGCAATTCATAAAATACGAGTGCACAGGCACCCTCTTCCAGTTTCAATTACCTGAAGGTGCATTTTCCTGGTGGGTATCACGTCAAAGATACAAAATGTTGTATTGGGGTGGTTCGACTCCAAGTGCTAAAAGCTGTGCATGTGGCATGAATCGTACCTGTTATCATCCCAACGAATTCTGCAATTGTGAAAATGTGCAAGGCGAATGGACTGAAGACAGCGGGTACTTGGTCGACAAAGAATATCTGCCAGTGAGCGAGTTGAGATTTGGTGATACAGGGAACAGTAATGAGGAGGGATATCATACACTGGGCAAGCTGTTGTGTTGGGGCTAAACATCGTGTCCTATATTCTATCTTGTGTACACTTAATAACTTTAAATTTTGCACTAACATTTAGCTATAGTGGCAGAAACACCGGGACGTTTTAGTCTTCTATCAATCTTAAATTTGCACTGGTCCTATTCTAAATCGACCTAATGTATTCGTGCCATACTCACGTTGTTTGATGTAATTCTATTGTCAAGATCTTAATTTAAATACAACTGCACACAACAATGGCTGGAACTCGTCGTCTGAATTGAAAGACAATAAAACAACTCCAAAACAACATTGTCAAGGGTCACATGCCATTTAAAAATTATCTCATTTAATCCAATTTTCCCTTCATGAATTTGAAATAAAGTGAATTCGAACGAATAAGGTGCGCACATGGACTATATTCATGCCCAACTTGTATCTTAAAATGTGCTAGACACATTTTATGCAAATCGTTATCTGATATCCAACTAAATTAAAATATTCAAAAGTTATCCCTATTTACAAAAAGGATGACGAAACTGATTCTTCAAACTGTAGACTAATATCTCTTCTTTCGGTCTTGAATAAAAATTTTTGAGAAAATGATATATATGATTATATGTATAAAATCGTTTCTTCAAAAAGAAAATATTCTCAGCAAGGTTTCCGGGAAAAATTCCAACTCAGCATGCAATTGCAACTCAGCATTTGATATGGTGAATTGTTGTATATTATCTTAAAGAAATTGCATTATTATGGGAATAAGAGGAATTGTAAATGACTGGCCTTCTTCGTACGTACCTACTAGGTCGTATTCAAACTGCACAAATTGGTCCAGACATATCTGAAAAAGAAGTTTAAACCGTACGTGGCGTTCCTCAGGGCTCGGTTTTGAGACCGTTACTCTTTTTAATTTAAACGACATCTATATAATTTTTCAAATATATTGATTTTTTTATTTGGAGACCATGCTAACCTGTTCTTTGCGGACAAAAATTTAAAATCATTAGGAAATATTGTCAATATCGAACTCTCCAAAATTATATACAGAATAACTGATTAACTGCGAAGAAAATTATCCTTAGAGCTCGTGCTCCATGCCACACGAGCTAAGTTATTAAACGATAGTATAATGATATGGGAATTGTTTTTACATAGTTATACAATGAGCATCGAGTCTCTCAAAGGATCAGAACATGTGCAAGTGCATTATCTAAGCAGACTTAACTGAGAAAACTAACTGCTGAATGTTCAAGGTTCGAAGAGGTTACGAGACAAATATCGTCATTAAATTTGGTATAAAAAAATTATTTTTTTGAAGTGGGGTGTGTGTTATTTTCGCTCGCGACCGTTAACTATGCTTAATAAACACTTCTGGCGTCCAGAAAATGTAAGAAGTCAAAAGGCTCGCGGCGGAAATAAAATTTACTTGCTGTGGAAGATTTGTCTAATGATATATTTATAATTAGGGTTGCAGTTAAGTCCGCATTACTCACATGCGTGTTTTTCTCATATCATTTTGCGTTAAAATATTTTAAAATAGTCTTAAAATTTGCTCTCATACCTATACCTGCCTGAGTAGAGCTCACATCACTGTCTTTCAATAATATCTATGTATACAGTTTTTTCGCCGCGCAAAATATACAAATAGACATGCTTTTTTGTTGCGAGCTCCATAATAAAATTAGTCGTTAAAAAATGTACGCATGCACGTGAATCCGTGTTGAACGGCATGTTCGAAATTTGACATTAGCTCTGCTGTATAATATAATCTGCATGGTCATGTTTTAAGATCATGGTTTGCTGCCAGTGTATACATCTCATTCAGAAAGCAAAATATTCATTGCTGTGGCGATGTTGTTGTTAGAAGCTGTTAATGCTTGAAGAACATCGTATCTTGTAAAACCCATTTCTATTAGTTGCTGTATCTAGAACGAAAGGAGAAAATCATTTCGAAAACAATTAACAATTTCTTCACAAATTTATATTGTACAAACAATGATTTTAGCCGTATAAGCTAGGGAAATTCAAGTCAGAATTATTTGTTGAAATAAACAAATAATTAATAACACTAATTTAAGCCCATGTTGCACGATGCACCTTTTGCGCAACTTGCAATGCAATTTGGGTCAACCGATATTACAGTATGTCAAAACGTATTAACATGCAGTAAATCGGTGAACACGGAGAGCATTTACTATTTTTATTCTCGTTGATTTCATCCATGCCTCACACAACGTTTGCTAAGGGTAATCAAGAAGTGACAATTTATGACAAAACTATTTCTATGCAGGGGGAGAATCCAACTTTATTAGACCATAGCTATATTGTTAGCCCAGAAATGTGACGGATAAAATCAACAGTTTTATCAATCACATTATCTTGAATAATTTCACGAGAAGTTATATCAATAGCAACCCAACAATACATTTCTTCGTATATATTTTTGGGCACCCGGCCCTTCTGAAATTCATCGCAGGTTTAAAGTCTGGTTTACACTCTCAAAGGTTTTGTGATTACAGTAGGAATTTCGCATAGGTAAATTCGTAGTCTTGAAAGATTTGTAAGAAATGTCTGAGGGAAATGACACGGTTTGAGATATGCAGTAATCCGGTCTATAGCACGATCTGTTCCTTCATCCTATTACTGCATGCATAACTTCTCGCTGTATTGCTTAGATTCAAAGAAGATGCTTGACGTACAAAGCCTATATAGTAGAATTACAAGACTAACCTGTTCTTCCGAAACTTCTATTGTTGGTTGTTGAATAGGTTCTGCAGACCTGTTAGTGTTGGTAGGTGCGGCACCAGCAGTTCCAGAGAATGGACTTCCAATAACCTAGGGAAAGGTTATGTAGTTACAGGCCGAGTTACAGTATAGTTAATCACAGATTACATTTTAATTTAGTAGTAAGAGTAGTATTCTATATACATGCTACATATACGTCGACAGAACTGGCTTACTCAGGTGTTTTGTTTCGCAAATACATGTATGTAGTAGCCTATTTATGGAATCTGATGGCTTTTACATTTTTTTAAACACATCGACCGGTCGAAGGCAATGATCTCGATGTATACTCACAGGCCATCTACGTGTGACATTCATTTGTTGTACATTCCACATTTGTTGATCCAACTCGTCCATCCTTATTTGACGTTGGATTTCCAGCGTAGCACCTTGAAGCCTTTCTGCATTGTCAGGGGCAGGAGAATGGAATAGATTTCCAAATATTCGTGAGCAAACACTGCTAATTGCACGAGGGACCGTAAGCCAGCGTTTAACATAAAATATATTAAAATGACAAACCACTCCAGCAATCTGCACAATAAAAAAACATGTATTCGACTATCATATTACATGTGTATATATGCATGGATACCGTAATTAAAACCTTTCTGAGGGCCGTTAATTGTGAGAATAAACCGTACACCATATTTTTAAAGTATATATATAATTCTGAAATAAGGAATTACTGTAGAGCGATTGTTAATTACCTTGTACAAAGTAATGAGGGCAAACGCCTATCCCGTATGCCTATGTGAGGGGCCTTAAAGTCCACCTATTTCATATGGATGCGCTAAGTACAGTATTCCCACCAGTTGCATTAAAAGAGAATTAAAGCGGTTATAAAGTAATACGATTAGCTCTTGAAAATTATTTATAGACATACGTTTAATAGCGAAATTCTCCACACCATTAAAAATAATAAATTATAGCATAGTATTAGAGAATTAGAGCTGCTCTCGTCCTCTGATTTTTTCTCGTCACTACCGACTGAGGAGGAAAGGTATTACTATATAGAGCAAGTCCCTAATTCACGACGAAAACAGTCACTGAATTGCAGTGATGCTACAGTAATACTTTTTGTTTGTGGAAACATACCACGTACAGTAATTTATTACTGCAAAGCTTTCGATCCGTAAGCCCGGATCTTCATCAGTGCTAATATGTATATTATTTGGATTTTCATCTGTGCTAATATGTATATATAACTTTGCAGTAATAAATTTACGTGGTTTTTCCACAAACAAAAAGTATTGTATGTTTTATCGCCAAGCAATCGTACAAAGATGCTACAGTGACATAATAAAACTCACTATTCCACATAAACCAGATAAAGCTGCGCCTTTGCTAGTTAGTAGCATCTATTTTGAAAAGAAAAAAAATGTTCAAGAAACATGTTGAAGGATGGAACTACCTGCATGAAAAACATCCTTATTATCTTTACATGATAAAAGTACTGAATTCTGATTGGTTGAAAGAACACTATTTTATTGATTGCATTCCAACTTGTACAATTAATCAGCAGTGGGGCTTGCGAACAAATTGGAGCAAAAATACTCAAAATGGTGGTTCAGAGTATATCAAATAAAATTCCGATATAAATATTTGGAAACGAGCGTGATTGCGAGTATGCTGAATCAATGCTTTCAAGTAAAAGAACAGCACAGCGCGTTTTGCATCATGGGCCAGTAAATTTTTCAAACATTCGTACTGTTAATCCGGAAAGATTCATTTTCATGATTGAGACATTAGGTTTTATAACTAATATCACATATGATATCAGAAAACATTCATACAGAGTGTGAATGATTTCTGTCCCTTTCACAACGAGGCTCCATAGCGAAAGTGTGACGTACTTTCTGGCAGGGCGTATTGTATACTCGCCATCACATGATTATCTAGTATATTTATCAACCACAAAAGCTGAATGGACTTTAATTGTATACTGTACCTGTAAACCAAATACATATGTGAAGACTTTCCCCGTCGATGGAACTAACCCAAAGAAGCTGGAAGAATTCACTGACGGGATTGATAAGAAGAACGGAACGTAAAGACTAAAAATCACCCAGAATCTAAACGATATTGACAAGAAACAAGAAATGTTAGTATATGATCATTATATTTATACATTTTGTACGCTAACTGTTTTACACTCATCAAACGCAAGAAATTGAAAAATCGAACACATTAATAAAGCATAAATAACATAAATTCGTACGGTCCAGTTGGGACGTCTTCTATCTTCAAAC